TTTTGTAATGCTGTTTTTATTCCTTCCATTGATATGTAGTTACGTAATTACATGTTTATATTTGTTAGAAGTTAGCTGCTTCAGTTGTATTTTGTTCTTGTTTTGTGATGCTGTTTTTATTCCTTCCATTGATATGTAGTTATGTAATTTCATGTTTACTTGTGTTAGAAGTTAGCTGCTTCAGTTGTATTTGTTCTTGTTTTGTGATGCTGTTTTTATTCCTTCCATTGATATGTAGTTATGTAATTACATGTTCACCGATGTTAGAAGTTAGCCGCTTCAGTTGTATTTGTTCTTGTTTTGTAATGCTGTTTTTATTCCTCCCATTGATATGTAGTTATGTAATTACTTGTTTACTTTTGTTAGAAGTTAGCTACTTCAGTTGTATTTTGTTCTTATTTTGTAATGCTGTTTTTATTCCTCCCATTGATATGTAGTTATGTAATTACTTGTTTACTTTTGTTAGAAGTTAGCTACTTCAGTTGTATTTTGTTCTTATTTTGTAATGCTGTTTTTATTCCTTCCATTGACATGTAGTTATGTAATTACATGTTCCCCGATGTTAGAAGTTAGCAGCTTCAGTTGTATTTGTTCTTATTTTGTAATGCTGTTTTTATTCCTTCCATTGATATGTTGTTATGTAATTACATGTTCACCGATGTTAGAAGTTAGCTGCTTCAGTTGTATTTGTTCTCGTTTCGTGTTGCTATAGAAATATATTGATTTGTATTGGTTTTATAATTAACTATTTAAAACTGATTAAACTGAAGTTAAAAACTTTCAATAACTTGCACCAAAGTTGGTATCTTCCTCATTAAATGAGATTAAATAAGAATTCGTGATATATCATATGATCTTATAATTATGATGTAACGCTTTTTTATTAAAATGTTGAAATAAACGGACTTGCAGTGCTGACTTATTATAAAACTCTTTGTTGTGTTCTTCCCTTGGTACGTATTATGAGACCAAAACTTACCTAGTAAAAATGCAAAATAATGTTTTAAACAGAACCATTCAAATATACTCATTTCATGTGTATTATTATAATGTTTACAGTTGGTAAGATCCGGAAACGATGGTTGAAGCAGTCTGTGTCCGATGTTGGTCTTGGAATGATGAGAGCGGTGAAAGAATACGTAGATCCAAATAATGTGTTTGGCAACAGTAACTTGATTTGACGTTTAGGCTTTTGATATACGACTAGAATCAATAACTGTAACGTTTATTTTTCAGTATTCCACGCACACAACATATTGATATATTCTACTTTGTACCTCTTCTACAAATTCCATTTTTATATCTCCTATTATCTATGTTGTGGTTAATATTATACATTTATCATCTGTTTTAAACACTTCAAGCTTTAATATTAACTTCTTATAAATGCTTTTTTTTGTGATTTTACAGAATTTTAATGTTTGAATACATAATTTCGTGGTTAAAACTGGATAAAATTGAAATACCAAACAATTTTCCTTAATTCCTCGTTCAACACCGATACAGCACCTTTTTATTACCAGTATGTTCTAAAAACTTGCACAACTAGTATGTTTAATTAATAATTTCGTAAATCCGGTTTATACTTATATAACGTGTAACTAATCTTACTTCTACACAATATTTATGTATAAAACTTGTCAAGTGAGAGTTAATTCTCTTCATAAACAACATATCATACTAAATACATGTTCCAAACAAAAGGAAGAATACACGTGATGTGCTCCTGTAGTATGCGAATACTACACATCCCACTCTCCCATAGTATATACAGGGTAATTATAAAGAACATTTCACATTAAAGCGAATGGTATCCCACGTTAGGTGTGATGTGGCATTTGCGTCTACATGATACCGTTGATACCCCTGTGCAATTTCACATTCTTATGGCATACCCGTTTGCCATATCTAGAGCATTCTTAATTTTTTTCTAAGGTTTAATCTGAAACGTTCTAACTCTAGTTGATTTCATGTGTTAAATCCAGCCTGAGGTATTAATTTCTACAGACTGTCTGGCTAAGGAAGTTATCTATTGTTTTATAGGTTATTCTATTGTTGTTTGACCTTGAGTTTAGAGGATACCTTGGGCTATCAAGTGAAGCAGACATATTTTCCACATTCTGGTATCTATTATCTGTTTAGTTAGCTACTAATTAATGCAATATTTATATTGTCTGATGAAACTTCAATATCTGAGGAGAAAGTTTTATTTTAATCTGAGAGAACCAAGACTTGCTGCAGAAATCCTGTCTCTGTTAGTTGGTACCTCGTTTTTTTGTAAACGCTGATATTCAAATGCTTTACTTTTAAGTTTTGTACCTTGTATCATCTATTGAAAACGCTAAAAGTTATTCTTTCGCTTTTATTTGAAATAAAATACTTGATTTTCTTCAGACTTCAATGCTGTATATATTTGTTTCTTTCAATTCACCTGTAATAAATCACTACACCTGTCATTCCACATATGATATCCACGAACCTCTAGTTTCTGCGGAAATAGAGTACCTGTGTGTTATGTTCAGCTTTGAAATGATCACACTCCTTACTTCAAAAGGGGGTAGAAATTTCACCACACATTATTAATACTTCTTTAACATGAAATATTGGACTATCTATGTTTTTGTCATTGATATCGTAAAAGAAGTATTGGACTGTGAATTATTGACATCCCTTCTGAAATAATTTGGAGGCAGCACTGATGTCTTTTTCAAACTGGCACTGTGTCCAATCCAGCTATGAACACCTGATTCAATCTTAGAACAGGTACGCTATGATTGCATGAACCAGAATGGACAAGTTATGGCCACCTGCTTGTTTTGTGAATGATAGCTTGCTTTAACTAGGTGTCCAAGCAATTGTACCATTGGTTAGCATATGGTTAGACATGCTGCTAATGGCACTTTGAAAAATTTGCAACCAATTTACAATAGGTTTCCGTGAAAGATCTACTTCTGTAAAATTGGTTTGAAAACGGATTCACATTCTGCTAATGATATTCTGAGACATTTGTAACAAATGCACAGTAGCTTTCTCTAAATGGATACTTCTACTCAATCAATCAATCGATCTCTAGACGAGTGAGACATTAAAATGTCTGTTTTTGAGGTTTATCAATCGTTCACAAATACTTTAACTCTGTGATTCATTATAAAGTGCCAACGGAGACAAGACTATGCATTGACTATATGATATTCAAGCAACCCATGTATATCCTATCGTCTTATTCAATAAACAGGAAAACAAAATACAATTTTAACGGATAGTAAGGATCGTTGGTTATTCGCAGAATTGCTATAAGAAGTATCCAAAACAAAATAAATGCTGCAATAAATAGTCCACAAACAAGTAAAGTGATACTAGTTGGATAGATTTTAAAACGATTTTCAGTCCCTACTTTGGTTGGCATTGTGATCCGTATAGCTAAATGTTACTTTCTTCTCATTTTGAATCAGTAAATAAAGATTTGTAAAGAAATGTTATCAGTCTTATCACCATAAGATCTGACGTTCCCGTAATTCAAGAAAGTTTCGTACGTTTAGCAAAGAAAGATGATTTTTTTGTGCCTCTGAAAAACTTCAAGGAGTACTGTGTGGTTGACATCCCACTATAGGAGGGAACTACGGTTGTGCTTCTTTACGGTTTCCCCCTTGGCCGCGTCATCTTGCAAGTTTCGTTTGAATCTTTAGCTGCAAACATTGATCTAAGATTGTAATCCCCTATCTAATACTTGAAGTTTTGTTAATAAACGTTAGAAACATTCAGTTCATGGGGTCTAATTGTGTAGAAAGTTATTCAAGAATTGTACATTAACTGATATCTACTAGACTTGTATGAAAGTTAATTTAATCTTGACAATTCAGTGTCTCAGTTTGTTATTCCTAAAATATCTGTTTTAAAACGCAAGAATAGTCCATTTACTAGTTTTCTGAGTTTACAAACTGAAATCTTACATGATAAACGAAGAAACGTTTTATGTTTTGTTGACAGAGATATTTTATATTTGATCACTTACATGCTAGAACACTTGGATATACTGTAGGTATAATGTGAACTCTGTTTCTTCGTGTTTTTCAAATGAGGATTTGTCCAGACCAGAGATATTAATCTCAAGAAATGACTTTGTTTAAACAATTGAGATTTAAAGGTTCTTTTCAGGGCTATCACATCCCGAGAAAGACAAAGCTATGTTTACATATATCACCTCTACTGATGAAAAGGTTTCTCACTTCTCATATTTACAATGAACATTAGCATTAATCTTTCTTGCAAGCTTCCAATGAATGATTAGCTATAAATTTGATCAGTTGATCTAAGATCATACTAGTTGAAGTTTTGTGAATACATGTTTCAGTATGTACGACAACAGTCTTATTTACTGTTTGTTATTTTACTTACATACATTATTGAATATTAGTACTTGTAATGAAACTTACCACTGGGAATGTGGTCATGACGAGAGATGTATTCCACAGTGGAAAGTTAAAGATATCTACGCTATTTATGTAACAAGGGACTTGTGATAATAAGCGAAAAAAAAGATCTTGGCAATCCAGATTTATGTAATAGTTAATTTAATCTTGGCACTCCAGACTTGTGTGATTCATACATACTTCAGTTTGTGTTAATTGTAAGTATCAAATGTTATCGAACTGCCAACTTGTCAAAAGAAATTTACCCCTCGGATATATTTCAAGAACACAGCCCATATTGTAAGGCGATGGACAATACTGTTATTTCTTTACGTGTCTAAACCTTTACATTTTCATAAAGTTAGACTTTTGTAAAGATCTTAGTGAGTTATATTCGTAATGTTATATTTAAACGTCAAATAGTCTCGCCACTTACAGCTTGGGTCGACTCCGTGGGAGTTTCCAACGTTGGTTAACTCAAAAGGAAAATTTATTCATACTTTTATCACCCACTGATAAACTTTTTTCCTTAAAATAATATGCTAAGTGCTTAACATAATTTTAACACAAAAGAATCATTATTTGGTGTGCTATAGTAGTGTGATGCCACCGAAAATTTATCGCTTTTGGAAAGGATATTTAAAAACCCTTCCCGAGGAAAATGTTCATACATTCAGATCATAAAGATATGTTCAGAATGGGGATTGACAATAGTGGGATTTCACTGTCACTCTTATAATATCTTCATGGCAGAGTATTTTCTATGCGTCAATGGGCCGCTTGGCTTCACAGTCTGGTCATGCTAATCACTACAAGGCCACGCCTATCCCCATAGCTTTTCATGAGGATTTTGTTCAACTGCACAATTATATATTAGCTTTACCATTTTTAATACATGACGACTTATTGCACCTCATATATGCAGGCCTAGTAACAAATGATCCAAAAAATTAAGATTATTCCAGTAACTACATTTATTTATCAACTCTGTAATGGAATTTTATCATCTTAAATATGTTTTCTTGATATTTATCTACTTGAACTTACTTATTACTTATTAATTCCTATAATCATATGTTACATAATGTCAATAAGTAGGAAAAAATTAAAATGATAACCGAATATATGGATCGTTGGTTAACCATAGAATTGCTTTAAAAAATATCCAGAAAATAATATATGCTAAAATAAAAAGTACACAAACAAGTAAAGTTATACTAGTTGGATAGATTTTAAAACGATTTTCAATCTCTACTTTGGTTGGCAAATTTAGACTGCTTCATTTAGCTATACGGATCACAATGCCAACCACATCAGAAGTTTATAAAATTTAATCATTACTTTGGCCTACAGTTAGTATAGTATAGTTGCCAAAGTAAGGATTAAACTTTATAAATTTGTGATTGTGGTTTTAATTCTTGTTTCATTACTTTTTGTAGCAGGATCCCTACTTCGTTTTAAAATTCATAATTTTTAATACTCTTGTTTGTCTACTTTTTACGTTATACCTGTATAAAGCATATACTTTACCTTCAGAAACTGTCACGTGTCTATACATGGATATGTAGCGCCATCCGTTAGGTTGAAAAGATATTTCAGACCAATCAACTGATCTGGTGGAAATCTTGTAGCGATAGTCCGAGCAGTCTGGGCGCTAGCTCCGCTGACGAGATCAGGTAGATAGGTAGTAAACGGAAAAGTTGCTGTATTAGAAAATTTTAACTTGTTACACCGGAAATTTTAGTGACTTTTTTATCGCATTATTAGTATAT